TACAGGCCCTCACTTGCTTGTGTAGAGATGCTTTGCTTTGTACTCTGGCATCTCTTTATGTTTGCTATATATATGCATATAGACTGGCCTTCTGGCCTTGTGCTTCTGTAGAGATGCTTGTCGTGTACTCTTACATCTTCTTTGGCCTTGTGCTTCTGTAGAGATGCTTGTCGTGTACTCTTACATCTTCTTTGTTTGCTATATCCTTGCATGTGGACTGGCCTTGTGGCCCCTCGCTTGTTCTCGGACTGTGTGGTGATCTTGAGATCCACCCCGAGATTTGTTGTGTTTTTTGCGAACTGGTCCTGTGACCCTTGTTGTGTGTTGCTTTCCACAGGACTACCGTCACATAGACTATGGGGGTGTGTCAAGCTATATTTGTTATAGCTTATTTGTGTTAGTCTAGGTGTACTTAATGTTTTCCTAGGGTTAGGGTTATGCTTGCTATATCTTGCTTGTTTTCACTTTCCTTAGTCAACACTTCTAGTTTTTTAACTTGACAATACGCCGTCAAGGGTATGCCGAGCAGCTACAACCTCACGCGCCGACTGCTGGTGGTGCCTGGCACGCATGAGTTACTCGACGAGGACACCCTCACCAGCTACATCATCAGAGATGAGGCGATGCAAGAGGAAGAACTGCCCACGAAGCTCCTTCCGCAAGCGAGCTACGCTGCCCCGACGAATCGAGTCGTCGCCAGGGGTAGCGCGGGAAGCTGGGCGGAGGTGGTTGCGGAGGTGGGCGGTCGACGAAGGACGTCGACGAGAAGAGGTCGACGCGGGACAAGGGTTGTGGAGGTGGTGGTCAACGGCGGGAGTGCTGGATCTGCTCCGACCCCGACCATCCCTTCTTCAAGTGCCCAAACCGCGACGACAAGGATAAGGACGACAACAAAGGAGGCCACGCGCGTTCGGCGAGTCGTCGTCCGTGTTGATATGAGATGTTGCGCAAGGAGAAGCAGACGTCGAAGAAGACGCTGTCGACGAGGACGTCGACACCTCCAACGGCAAGGGCCGAGGCAACGGGGAGGCGTCGTGCTCTATGGTCGGCGTGGTGGAGCTGACAGTCTCGCTTGCGAAAGAAGCTGGGAAGGACTTCAAGGCGGTCGCGGACGCCTTGCAAACGAATCTGATGGTGGTGCTGCTCGACACCGGCTGCTCGCACCACCTCATGGGAACGAAAGAAGTCTTCGACGACATGTCACCGAGCAGCGATGTGAAGCTTGTGCGCGGCTTCAACGGGGCTTTGCAGGCCGTCGAGGGCCGCGGAACTGTCGCTCTGCAAGGGGAGGTCCTCATCCCCGAAATGCTCTACGTTCCAAGGGTATAGGCAAACTTGCTGTCAGCCGGCCAGCTCCAAAAGAGCGGTGTGAAGCTGCAGGACGACGACGACGAGCAGCTGCTTGTGTCGGGTGCAGGCAAGGTGCTCAGTGGAGCATGCTACACTGGACGCGTCCTCTGCACCGACGCTCGACGCGGTCGCCGTCGACCGAGGTGGTGGCTCTCCGGAAAATCGCCTCAGCGACGAAGTCACCAACCGATAGCAAGCGAGGCTTGCGCACATCGGCATCGACACGATCAAGAGTTTGGCGAAGAATGAAGTTGCCACCAACCTCAACATCAAGCCCTCGACCGAGGCCAACTTGCCATGTGTCTCGTGCGTCGGAGGGAAGCTGGCACGGCACACGTTTCCCGACAAAGGCTCGGACGTCGAGGATGCTCTGGCTGTCATGCGCATTGACTTGTGCGGGCTAGGATGCTGCGAAGGATAACAGCCTGTTTTTCCTACTTCTGAAGGACCACCACATTCGATTCGTATGGGTGAAACTGGTCGCTAAGAAAAGCAACGTGCTGCGGGAGTTTGAGAAGTGACTCCTGCTGTTGGAGCTGCAGACGAAGCTGGCGCCGAAGGCTCGCTGGGGATTTCACCTGGAGGTGTTGCCGGAGAGCAAGGGCTGGGAGGTGCTTGAATTGACCGACAACAAGGTGGTCACGTCGGTCGAGGTCATCTTCTACGAGACGTTGTCGCTAGAGGCGTGGAAGGCGAAGTATGGGCCGGCGTCGGGGCGGACGCAGGCACACTCGCCGACGCACACCTCGACGGCGAAGTTCCCGCTGCTCGCTGTGGTTGACGAGCCTGCTGATGATGACTTCGAGGAAGTCCCACCCCCTCCTCCTCCTCCTGTTTCTGCTACCCCCACCCCCGTCGCAGATCTGCATGGGTCGACGCTGTTGTCGCCCGCTGACGATGAGGGGAGCTTTGAGGCGCCGCCTGTGGCGCCGGTCAGTGACATCGACGGCAGCCGACAAGGCGGCAAGCTCGTCAACGAGGACGTAAAGCCGTTGTCGACAGGGGAGCAGCAGACAGGGGCGCTGGTGGAGAAGGGGGTACCTGCAGAAGTGCTGCCGACGGGGGAGCATCAGACGGGACAGTCGACAAGGGAGGTATCGACGAAAGCAAGGTCGGCAAGCGGGCCGATGGGAGGGAAGCAGTCGGTCAAGGGGCTGATGCTAGTGAAGCAGCTCGTCGACGACAAGGATGTCGATGATGCAGGGCCGCCATCAGCAAGGGAGGAGTCTAACGATAGCGACGTGGTGGAGGTTATGGCCGAGAAGCTGGAAATGCAACGCTTGGGTCGAATTCGGAAGCCGCCGGAGTGGCTGATCTTTCACGCCTGTCTTCAACCACCCGCCTTCACCACACTGCTCGATGACGATGAGGTCGATGTTGAACTGCTAGAGCTCGACCTCGATGTGCACGCCACCTCAACCACCGCTGAGATATCGCAACGATGACGGTGAAGGAGGCGTTGGCGAGCTGGAAGGGCAAGGCGGTGAATGCCGCCATGGATCGGAGATCCACAGCCTTGTCAGCATAGGCACAAGGGAGCTGGTCGAACGCTTGCGCGGTGTAAACATCATGAAGAACCGCTGGGTGCTGATAACAAAGTACCACGTCGACGACATGGTTGTCCACGAGAAGGCGCCCTTGGTCGTGAAGGGCTTCACGCAGATGTATGGCGCCGACTATGACGAGACGTACGCGCCGGTTAGCGGCTACATCACACTGAGGATCTTCCCCAGCATTGTCGCTGTCCTCGACCTCAACTTGATGCAGCTCGACATGAAAAGCGCCATCCTGTAGAGAAAGCTGGATAGGTTGCTATACATTTGCCAGCTGGACTACTACGATGACAATACCGGCCGGATGTGCAAGCTGCTGAAGAGTTCGTACGGGCTGAAGCAGTCGCCGCTGTTGTGGTACAAGGTGCTCGACGACGTGCTGACTGGCGCCGACTGGAAGAAGAGCCATGTCGATGATGCGCCGTTCTTCAAGGTCGGCGACCACGGAGTGACGTGCTGGGTGCTCGTCTACGTTGACGATCTGCTCGCTGCCAGCAGCAGCACTTCGACGCTGAAGGCGCTGAAGGCGCTGAAGGAGCTGCTGGAGGCTGCCTTCGAGCTGCGCGAGATGAGCCCCGTCGAGAAGTACCTTGGGGTAGAGATCGTGCGCGACCGACCGGCGAGGAAGCTGTGGTTACACCAGCAGTCGAACGTCGACAAGCTGCCCACGCGCTTCATCGACGAGGAGCAGACCGGGCGGGTCCCGAAGACAACGGTCTCCGCCGACGCCTACGCTGAGCTGATGTTCGACGATGAAGATTCTCAGGCGCACAAGGAGGAGGAATACCGACAGAAGGCCGGCTCGCTGCAGTTTGGGCGACATCGACGAGGCCGGACATCGTTTTCGCGTGCAGCAAGCTGGGGAGCGGTTTGACGGTGAGGAGCGACCAGCACTGGCGCGAGGTCGACCGCTGCCTTTATCCGGTATAACATGGTATTGTTAGAGTGTGTAACCTTTTTTGCATTTTGATAGTCCGAACCGTGTACGAAAACGGTATCCCCTTTCGTTGATCCTCGCATGGCCTTCAATTCGATAACGAGCTGACACGACCAGGACCGTTAGCGGGATACCCTATTCGCACACAGTTCAGACCGTCAAAAAGTAAAAAGTTACCGCCCTTAGGGCGCGTAACTTTTTCCATTTTCGTCAAATGTCCGGACGGAGCCTCCAAACCGGCCGGACGGAGCTCCGTCCGGACGTTTGGGAAGCAGGTCCGGACAATAGGGCGTCCGGACCACAATTGTGCAACTTTTTCCCCTAACGTAAATGTAGAATCTCGCCACGAATAATAACACGCATTACAGAAATCGTCTAGGACTTGGAGATTTCGCCACCAAAATTTGACGGCATCCTATTGGTTGGAAAATCATTCACTTCGTGGCCGAATCACAGCGCAGACAAAACGGACCGTCCGAAATGCCGTTCGGACGGAGTCAGCAGGTTAGTCCGGACCACATTTTGGCGAAAAAGTGTCAGATTGTGTCCGGACGGTAGCGACGTCACAGGGGATCTTGCGAACATCTAAACGGACTGCTACGAAATCAGTTACCCTACAGAAGTCCGGACAGGGCCTCCGTCCGGACGATGAAAGGTGAAAAAGTTACGCGCCCTCAGTTCATAGTTCATGTTGTCAAACTTGTTATCACAACACTGTTTAGACGAGTTTGGTTGAGGTTTGGGTTCGGTAGGAAGAGTTACGAGCAGATTTCGCTGTGACATGCGCGTCCCACGTCCACACACATCCATCAGCAATTCCAGCAATTCGTGTGCCTTCATTTTCCGCGTCGTCACCTCGCATAACCTCGTCTCCGTTGTGTTGCTAGCGGCACTGCGTTGATACGACGCTGAGCGATTGGCGCGCGCGGGTGGCGGCGCTGCTGCGTCTTTCCGCCATGTGGAAGGCGGCGGGAGGAGCGCCACGTTCCCAACGTGGGGGGAATTCCCCGCCCGCTGCCCTGCGCCAGGGTCCGGGGAGCGCGGAAGCCGATGGCGCTTTAGCCACGGATGGCGGGGAGGCTCCGCGACTTGGCCAGGCGGAACCCGGCGGAGAGCAGGAGGCTCGCGGCGGGGCTTATGGCGCACCGAATGGCGGAAGAATGTACGGCGGCGAGGGTTACGGCGCAACTGGCAGAGAGGGGTATGGCGGAGGCGGCGGGTGTCCGCCTGAGGAGATTTACGGACGGGCATACGGGGGACGGGGAGCTGGGAGGTACGGGGGCGGGGAAGTTGGCTGGGGATACGGCGGAGGGTATGGGGGAAGCTACGGGGGTGGATACGGGGGAAGCATGGAGGCAGGGGACGGGCATAGAGGAGCAATGGGAGCGGAATGGGGATATGCAGAAGGAAGTGGATGGGAGGGGAGGGGGGAAGGGGGAGCTCTTGGGGGCATCGCGGGGCACGGTGGGGAAGGCATGGGGGACTCTCTGCGCCGTCGGGGGAATGGGGAGATGGGGCTGGCCGAAGGGGAAGGCGGGGAGGCGGAGGAGAAGGGGAAGAAGGGCGGAGGCTGGTGGCGGTTGTTTGGGGGAAGAAAGGGCGGAACGGGGGAGAAAGGCGGGGATGTGGGGCGAGGCGAACAAGAAAGGTGGGAGGAAGGTGCGGGGGAGGGGGGGGAAGCGCGGCAGCAATGGGGCGTGGGGGGGTATGGGGGCTACCCATTGGGCATGGGGGAGGAGGTGGGAGGGTGGGGGTATGGCATGTATACGGGGGGAGGATACGGCACACATGCGGGAGGAGGTGGTGAGATGTACGGGGCAGGGGGGTATGGGGCAGGGGCTTATGGGGAAGGAGGATATGGGGCAGAGGGGTATGGGGAGGGAGGAAATGGGGCATGGGGATATGGGGAAGGTACATATGGGGAAGTGGAATGGGCAGGGGCGCATGAGGCAGGGCATTACAGCGGCGTTGTGAGGGGAGAGGGCGAAGTGGGATCTAACGGGGTGGCGGAGCTGGGTGCTTCTCACGGCCCTGCTGCTGCTGCTGCTGGTGCTTCCGGTTCTGCTGCTGGTGCTTCCGGTTCTGCTGCTGGGGCTTCTGCTGCTGGTACTGGTGGAGGGGCGGAGCAGCCAAGGCGGTCAAGCGTGGGGGATGCAGGAGAGGGAAATGGGGGCGCAGCAGTGGGCGGGCAGGAGAGGGAGGGCAGTGCGGGCAGCGGAGCGGTGCTTGCAGGGACGGCGATCGGAGGGGCGGAGACACAGGCGGCGAGGGCAGCAGGGGTGGCAGGGGCAGGCGTGGCAGTGGAGGGCGTGATGACGACGGGGCTGACGACAGCGGGGTTCAAGGTGCGGCGGCGGGGGCGGCCCGTGGTGCATGGCAGGGCGTCGGGGTACGACGAGGACGAGGCGTGGAGCCCTGGAGGCGACCGCAGTGGCGCGGCAGGGTGGGGTGTTGAGGAGAGGGCGAGTGTTAAGGGGGGGGACGGGAGTGTGGAGGCGGGGGGAGCAGGGAGTGAGGAAGGGGACGGCGGGGATGGAGAAAGTGGGGAATCGGGAGAAGAGAGGAGTGTGGGTTCAGGAGATGGGGAGGATGAGGAGGGCAGCAAAGGGGAGGGGAGCAGAGAGGGCAGCGATGGTGCATCAGAGGGGGAGGCGAGGGAGGGCGAGAGGGCAGGGGAGTCACGGCAGGAGTGGGAATGTGAAGCCTCGCCAGGAGCGTGGGGGCAGTACCCCTCTCCTGCGCCTCACCACTACGCACCGCCCCACCCAGCCTTCCAGCACCCCTGGGAGCACCAACGCCCCAACGATCCCTGGCAGACACATGGCAGGCAGGCACAGGGGGGACACCCCTCACCTGCAGCGCACGGCTCGCACCCACATGACCCCTGGCAGCAGCACGGCGCGCACTCACATGCCGCCCAGGGGGCTTACCCTGCCGCTCACCACCCCCTCCCTGCCGCTGCTGCTGCTGCTGCCACCGCTGTTGCCCCTGCTTCTGGGTCGCACACCCCCCTCACACGCAGCCCTGGTCCGCCCCCACACGCGATTCAGCCCCCTCAAGGCACCGCTGCAGGGGCATGGGGAGGGGCAGGGGTTGGGCCATGGGGAGGGGGATGGGGAGGAGCGGCGGGGTGGGGATGGGGAGGGGCAGGAGGGGAGGGAGGCGTGCATGCGTTGAGAGGAGGGCCGGGGGGAGGCAGGGGAGGGGCACCTGGCAGTAGAGGGTTGCGGCGGGGGAGACAGGCCGGAGGGGGGAACGAGAAGGATTCAGGCAGCGACCGGGGCGAGGGAGAGGGGAGAGGCGGAGCAGGGGAGAGGAAGGGCAGGGCGTGCTCTCCGGAGGTAGGAGGCGCCGAGGGGAGGAGGCGGCGAGCAGGCAAGGCAGGGTGGTGGGCGGTGCAGTGGCAGCTGTGGCGGCTGCAGCCCCGGCGCTCCCTGCTGCTGCAGGGCGGCCTTGCAGCCCTGGCGCTGCTGCTGCTCGCTGCCACTCTCGCCTCCCTCACTGCCTTGTGGGCGTGGGGAGGGGGGGATGGCGGAGGTGGGGAGCAAGGAGAGGGCGGGGGGGGAGTGGGGCTAGGGGAGGTGAGGACGTGGGGAGGGGAGGGGAGAAGGGTCCAAGGGGCAGGGTTGACGCCAGGGAGACGCAGGTGGGGGAGGGGGAGGGGCGAGAGAGGAAAGGGTTTGCCTCGAGTGGCGCTGGGGCGTGCAGCGGGAGCGAGTGAGGCGGGGCGGCGAGGCACGGACGTGTATGAGGCGAGCAGTGTGGGCGAGCGGATGGGCGAGTGGGACGAGCAGGCGGGGCTGGAGGTGCATGTGGGCACGGCGGCACCGCCCCTGCACGGAGATAGCCTGTGAGTCGCACAAACATTGTTGCGGTTGTGGTTCGATCTGGTTGGTGAAATGAAATGAATGTGCTGCGCACCAGCAAAAGTGGAAGCTACCTAAGTTGCTGGTCACATCACAGTGCCGTACTCATGGTTCCCCTTGTCTCACCCATGCTCTTCAGCTCTTCCTTTTCCCCAGCTGCTGTTCCATTCCCTGTGCCGTCCGATCCTTTGAATGTCTCCCATTCTTTGAATGTCTCCCATTCTTTGAATGTCTCCCATTCTTTGAATGTCTCCCATTCTTTGAATGTCTCCCATTCTTTGAATGTCTCCCATTCTTTGAATGTCTCCCATTCTTTGAATGTCTCCCATTCTTTGAATGTCTCCCATTCTTTGAATGTCTCCCATTCTTTGAATGTCTCCCATTCTTGAATCGACGCATTAACTCCCACCCGTGCTGCCTCTTCTCACCCGTGCTGCCTCTTCTCACCCGTGCTGCCTCTTCTCACCCGTGCTGCCTCTTCTCACACATCGTTCCCACCTGCTCTGTCCCGCCTCGTGCCTGCCACCTTCCCCGCCTGCCCAAACGGCTCTGTGCATCAGCACCTCCGGGGGGGAGGTGAGTGGGAAGGGCGGGGCAACAGCAGAGGGGCCATCAGGAGCGGGGCGGCAGTGGTACGTGGCGGTGCACGTCGCCCACGCCATGCAGACGTGGCCTCGCCTCGACTTCTCCCTCTCCGACGCCTTCCAGGTGCGCCTTGAACCTTCCAGGTGCGCCTTGAACCTTCCAGGTGCGCCTTGAACCTTCCAGGTGCGCCTTGAACCTTCCAGGTGCGCCTTGAACCTTCCAGGTGCGCCTTGTGCCTTTAGGTGCGCTTTCAAGATGCCTTTCACCTGCCCTTTCATACCTTGCAGGTGCCCTCTCATGCTCATAAGGTGACTCTCTAGTTCTGCATGACCGAGTGATTCCAAGCCCCTTGCACTTTGTGCTTGCACTTTGTGCTTGCACTTTGTGCTTGCACTTTGTGCTTGCACTTTGTGCTTGCACTTTGTGCTTGCACTTTGTGCTTGCACTTTGTGCTTGCACTTTGTGCTTGCACTTTGTGCTTGCACTTTGTGCTTGCACCGCGTGCACCATTCCGCACCTGTCACCACGTGCCCTGCTTCTCCCATGTGTGCGTCGCTCCATTCTGCCTCTCACCACTCGCCACTCGCCCGCCTCGTTGCGTTCTCGCCACCCCTCCCCTCCCCATCCCCCCCCTGCACCCTCCTTCCGGTGCCCGCAGTGGCTGGAGTTCGCCCGCTACAGCGGCGTGGCGCACGTGTTTTGGTACGACATGGCGGACGACCCGCGGGATCGCATGGTGAGCCGTGTGGTGCGCATGGCATAGGGAGTGGTGGGGAGAGCAGTGTGAGTGGTGGGGAGGTTGGGGAGAATAGTGTGAGTGGTGGGGAGTGGTGGGGAGAGCAGAGTGAGTGGTGGGGAGGGAGGGATGAAGAGTATGCATGTTGAGAAAACCGTGTCCACCATTCTCGCCCCCATCCCTCACTAGCCCAGACCCCCCCCCCCCCACCTCTCACCCCTCTCACCTCTCCCTCTTGCCCACCCTCCCCCCCACCCCTCTCACCTCTCCCTCTTGCCCACCCTCCCCCCCACCCCTCTCACCCCACCACCCCTCTCACCTCTCTCTCAACCCCTCACCTCACCCCTCTCACCGCGCTCACCATGTGTGGCAGGAGGTGGCGTTGGAGCGGTACGAGCGGGACGGCTTCATCACGTACCACCACTTCCCCTCACTCGCGCCTTCCCTGCCCGCCCACCACGGGGCCAGTCCCCGCGACCAGGTGCGCTGCCCCCCTGCACTGCACACATGTGCCGCTCACCCTCCTCACTGTAGGTGGTTTCCCTGTGCTCCACTGTTTCCCCCCCGCCCCATGCCTGCCTCCTGTGCACACCACAACCATCACTGCCACGCATTGCTCGCTTTTCGCCACTCTCCCTGCCCCAACCGTCTTTCCTCCCCACCCCTCTTCCCTCCCCACCGCTCGCCACTCCTGTCCCTTCCGCACCCGTCCTCCTGCTCATTGTCGCCCCTCCTCTCCACGCACACCTGGCACCTCAGTCACCCTCACACAGTACAGCAGCGCAGCGTGCCTCGTCACCAAGCAGCATCAATCCACGCCTCCCTGTCCTCTCCGCATCTCCTACCCTCCATCCATCCCTGCAACCCCAACTACCTGCCTGCCTCCACTGCACCACTTGCTTGCAAACACGCCTACCACATCCTCCCTTCCCCCCCCCACCCCTTCCTCACCTTCCCTCTCAGACAGACACTGCCCCACTGCCCCTCACCCACCACAGCACCTCCACGACTGTGTGATTGCTGCCACTCACCCCACCACACCACTCCACAGCGGCGCGGCACCTCAATGCGTGTTACACATCCCTCTTCCCCCCCAACCCCGTCCTCACCATCCCCACCAGGCGCTGCACCACTGCCTCACGCACCACGGCAGCTCTGTTGTCTGGCTGCTGCCTCTCACCCCGGTGGACTACCTCTCTGTGCCGCCCGACATCAAGCCGGGCTTCGCCGACCGCTTCCTGCGTGCCTACGAGGCCCGCCGCCCATCCGCGTCCCAGCTGCTGCTGCAAACCTTTCTCTTCCTCGGTTTCCCCCAGGTACCTCTCCAGGTGCTCCACAGGTCCCCTCTCCAGGTGCCTCACAAGTTCCATCCCAGACCGCGCAACTCTCTTCATCTCTCGCCTTCCTTACTGTTTCTCTCGCATACCATGATTGCTCCCTCCTCCTCCCACCGCCTTGGATATATCCAATGCGTGCCATCCTCCCCTCCTCTGACAACTCCTCAATGCCTTTCCTCCCATGTGCTGCCTCCCGTTCCTTTTCCCTGCTCAAGATTTTCTAGCTGCATTTTTGTCCCGCTAGTCCACATGCCGAGATGCACATGTCTGTTCGCCCACATTGGCCTTCCAATCCTCCCACTTCTTGCACCTTTCCTCATCCCCCCCACCCCGTCCAATCTCTCCGCCAACACCCCGTCCACCCCAAAACCCCCGTTCACCATCCCTCACCCTGACGTCTTCCCTCCACTCTCCCATCCTTCCCCAATCCTCCCCCACCCCCGTCCCCCACCCCTCCCAACCCCTCAGAACGCCTCTGCTCTCCTCATCCAGCGATACCAGCGCCGCACCAACCACTCTGACGGCGTGTCCCTCAGTCCTCAGGCTCGGGTCGTGCCTGTGGTCCGGCCGGACCTGGTGGCTCGGGTGCTATGGCGCAACCCGAGTCACCTGCTCATGACAGGTGGCAGCACTATGGCGCTGCCAGCTGGCGCCATGCGGGTGAACCGATTTGCGAGTGCGCTGCAGCAGATGCCAGGCACAGGTGAGAGCGGATGGGTGGGTGGTGTGGTTGCACGCGCAGGATATAGTTGAAGCATGGATGAGGACGTGTGGGTGGAAAAGAAGCAAGGAGGGCAGGAGGTGGAGGAGAGGGGGGCGAAGGAGGTGGGCAGTGGCTAGCTTGGGTGTGAATGAAAGCAAGAGATGGTGCTGTTATGATTGGGTGGAAAGCACATGATTGAGGATGGAAGCGATGAGGGTGGCACGTCTGGGTGGGAACATTGGTGGGGAGCAGTGGAAGGTACGGCACTGATTCAAGTGCTGCTGCATGCTCTCGTGGCCCTTACAGACGGTCCTTCCAGCTCACATGGCAGTCTGGATCCCCTCATATCCCCTCCCACGCTTCCCCCTCCTCTACGTTTTCTTAATTATTCTTGCTCTCTCCTTTATGCCACACTGTCATGCTGCCGTTCCGTCATGCTACCATGCTGCCATGCTGCGCTGCTGCCACAGCAGGCACCCAGCGTGGGACGGACATGGTAGTCGACACCTCGCTGCAGCCGTTGGTGCCGGAGCTGGCGATGATGCTCGAGAGGAGCCAGCAGGCAGGCAGACTCAAACTCCCCGGTGCCACTGCACATGGCACTCTCGGTGGCTTTAACTGGTTCAGAAACTGAGTGAGTGAGTGGTCACGCTGGTTGGGATTCTGACAGATGTGTGTAGCATGATCAATATGCATGGTCTAATCTAAGCTATTCAATGTGGTCTTGAATAAGGCATCCCGTTGTTCATGCAGAAGGGAATTCCGTATCACTTTCTGTGTGTTACAATGCCTGAACTGAAAGAGCTGAAGCCGTGATTGCCTTAGGCAAGGTGGGTATTCATTCAGGCAATATTGATTAGGGGCCTGCTGTTCTAATTCGACTCGGAATTCCCGAAACCGGTTAGGAATAGTCCGAAACAGGTTTGGGGCCCGGAGAAATCTCCAGTGACGAGAAGGCGGGTTCTCGGCCAGGCCAGGCCAGGCTGGCGAACAACGGTTGCTGCTGTACGCGATGTTGAAGAGAGCGGAAAAGAAAGCCAGAAATTTCCTCACGCATGGTCATCACAAATGACACACTGAAGGAATAGATTAGGAGCAACCCGGGTTTGAACCGGGGACCTATCGATCTGCAGTCGATTGCTCTACCACTGAGCTATTGCTCCACGTGATGGAGAGTCACGTAGAGTCTTCATCACTTTAGTTTTATGATAGTGGATATTCCACGTGAAGGGGTGTTTCTAGATTTGCAAGTGCAGTATCCCATCGCCTCTCGTCATCATCTCTTCTCCTCCGACGAGCGATCGCGGCGATGGGGGTGGAGATTCACGTGAAGCATCTGTCGAACGTCAAGTACTCGCTGGAGGTGGATCTGACGGCCACGGTGCGCCAGCTCAAGGAGCAGCTCGTCGACAAGTCGGGTATCGCCGTGCCGCAGCAGCGGTTAATCTTCAAAGGACGGATTCTCAAGGATGACGTCACCCTCGAGAGTTGCGGTACGCTGCCGAGGTTACGTGTCGTCTGCGGTTCGGATGCAATCGGCGTTTAGAAAGCTGTTTGCGATTCGCCGGAGAGCCGTGTAGATGTGCGTAGAGCGATGTAGACGAGGATAGCCGTGGGGCTTAGCGCGGTGGAAAGGTGTGCAGAGCGTGCAGGGCTGGGTGAAGCAGTGTCGTAGCATCCGGAGTTGTCGAGTCCAACCATTCGACGAGATTCGACGAATTCGTAGGGACCGGCCAACAAATCGCCGGCATCGTCAGGATCGCACGCGATAATATTGCACGTCTCAGGGTTCGCATAGTCTGCCGCAACGGATTCCCTTCAGCTCTTTTACTCCGTGCGTGAATTCCGCGCTGCCGCAACTCCGGCTCCTTCCTTGAGACGCGAGTGACTTGGAGGAGCGTCAGTATGACGCGCTCGCGTGTTCAGTGCCGGGAGGGGGAGAGGGGAATTGGAAGCGGGAACGGGAAGGGGAGGGATCCACCTTGACCTCCCCGCGTGGTTGCTCCCCCGTGCTTTGGTCCCTTCGCGATCTGACCCGCCGTCCCCGCGTTTCTCCGTCCCTCCGCCCGTTCGCACCGCGGCGCCCCATCGCCGCTTTTTCGCGCGTCTCACTCACGAATTTACCTGCCGCTTACCACCCAGTACCGGACTCTTATCAGTTTCTCCGTCTGACCCATACAGTCCCATACCGTCCCATCCCAGTTCATCCCGTCCCATCACGTCCCATCCCATCCCATCCCATCCCATCCCATCCCATCCCATCAAATCCATCCCATCCCATCCATCCCATCCCATGCACTCCACTGTCTCCCGTTCCTACCTCATCTCCCCCGTCACCCCCCCCTCCGCGCCACAGGCATAGAGGCGGATTCCACGCTGCACCTCGTCAGGGGCGGCGGGGGAGCAGCAGCGGCGGCGTCCCCCTCATCCGCGGCGCAGCCAGCCGCCGCGCAACAAGGCACATCCACCACGCCCTCCGCGAACCCCGCAGCAGCAGCAGGCGCGCCCGCCGCCGGAGGCGCGCAGCGCGTCCCCCCGGACCTGCTGGCGGCGGCGCTGGGCGGAGGCGGGGCCGCGGACCCCCTAGGCCTAGGCGGAATGGGCGGACTCGGCGGACTGGGCGGACTGGGAGGACTCGGCGGGTTGGGCGGGCTGGGGGGGCTGGGGCTGGACAACGGCGCAGGCGGAGGCCTGCCCGGGCTGGAGCAGTTCCAACAGCAGATGCTGCAGAACCCCGAGATGATCCGCGACATGATGAACCTGCCCGCCGTGCGCGCCCTCATGGACAACCCCGAGGTGATGCGCTCCATGCTGGCCGCCAATCCGCAGATGCAGCAGCTCATGGAGCGCAACCCCGAGCTGGCTCACGTGCTCAACGACCCCGCCGTGCTGCGGCAGACCATGGAGGCGGCGCGGAACCCCGAGCTCATGCGCGAGATGATGAGGACGACCGACCGCGCGATGAGCAACATTGAGGCGATGCCGGGCGGGTTCAACATGCTGCGCAACATGTACCATAACGTGCAGGAGCCGCTCATGGATGCTGCCACTGGGGGTGGTGGTGTGGGGGGCGGTGCGGGGAGGGGGGCCACGGGGACGGCGGGGAGTGGGGAGACGGGGGCAGGAGGGACGGAGGGGGCTGGTGGGCCGGCGAACACGGCTCCGCTGCCCAACCCGTGGGGTGGTGGAGGTGAGCTTGGGAGCTGTGTGATGCTGTTGCTGTGTTCTGTCCTGTTCTTTGCTGTGCTATGCTCTGTGCTGTGCTATGCTCTGTGCTGTGCTATGCTCTGTGCTGTGCTATGCTCTGTGCTGTGCTATGCTCTGTGCTGTGCTATGCTCTGTGCTGTGCTATGCTCTGTGCTGTGCTATGCTCTGTGCTGTTCTATGCTCTGTGCTGTGCTATGCTCTGTGCTGTGCTATGCTCTGTGCTGTGCTATGCTCTGTGCTGTGCTATGCTCTGTGCTGTGCTATGCTCTGTGCTGTACTATGCTCTGTGCTGTGCTATGCTCTGTGCTGTGCTATGCTCTGTGCTGTGCTATGCTCTGTGCTGTGCTGTGTTCTGTGCTATTCTGTGCTGTGCTCTGTGCTGCGCTGTGCTGTGGTCTAATATTGTGCTCTTGTGCTGTTCTGTGTGACTGCACAATTTTGTCATCCATCAAGCCACTGCCATCCTTTTGCTCCCCTTTCACACTCAAACCACCGTTGCTGCCTGCCACACCCTTTCATCGCATGGGCAATCCTGTTTCTTCACCTGCCTGTCCTTGCAGTTTCGATCTCACCTACCTTTCTTCCCACCCACATGCCACATGCTCCCGTCGTGTACGCATTCATGACCGTGTTTCGTCACCTTCTTGACCTCGTGGTTCCAATTTGTGTACCTCTCTTTCTCACCCACCTCCATTTTATTCCGCCTCTATTAACTTCCCTATTTCCCCTCTATTACTTCCCTATGCCCCATTTATTCACTTGCCTATCCCCCCTCTGTTCACTTCCCTATCCGGCCTCTATTCACTTCTCTATCTGCCCTCAGTTGACTTCCCTATCCCCCCTCCATTTACCCCCAACCCCCATTCTCGCCTTCACCAACTCCCATCGTCACCCCACTACCATCACCAGGAGCAGGCACCCAGCGCGCTGCCCCTGCGGGGCTGGGCGGGGGGCTACCAGGGCTGAACACGGTGAACCTGCTCTTCCCGCCCATCGCCCTGGCTGACCTCTCCTCCCACCCGCCCGCCGTGCTGCGCTCGCTGCTGCTGCTGCACCTGCTGCTGCGCCTGCCGGGGGTGCCCCAGCAGCTGGAGGAGCGCCTGGGCGACCCTGCATTTGTAACGGAGGCCGTGCGGGCGAGCGCCCTGCTGCAGGGGCAGGTGGACGGCAACGAGGCGCTGCGCTCGCTGCTGGGGGATGCTGCCGCGCTGCGGGAGATGCTGAGTGGCGAGGGGCTTGAGGGGCTGACCAGAGCGGGCGTGGCGGAGGGGCAGCTGGTTGGCAGCATGGGCATGGTCAGGCGCCTCATGGGGGGAGGGGCGGGGGGAGGGGCAGCAGGGGCGACTGGTGGTGCGGAGACAGCAGCAGGTGGGGGTGCAGGTGGAGCAGGGGCAGCAGGAGCAGCAGGAGGGGGAGCAGGTGCGGGGGGCGTGGGGGATCTGGATGCACTCATGCGAACTCTCATGGGCCCAGCCATGGCTGCAGCAGCGGCAGGGGGAGGGGGCCTGGGAGGTCTGGGAGGGCTGGGAGGGCTGGCTGGGTTGGGAGGGTTGGGAGGAGGGGCGGTGCCTCCGCCTGGGGTAGCGCCGGAGGAGTTTTATGCGACGCAGCTGGGGCAGCTGAGGGACATGGGGTTTGGCAACGAGCAGGACAACATTGCTGCACTCAGGGCCACTGGGGGCAACGTGCAAGCAGCCATCGAGAGGTTGCTGGGAGGGTAGAGTGAGGCTTGAAATCAATGGTCTGTCTTATGTGCAGAGGATGTTTTGCAAGTTACGAACGGTTTCCGGCAGAATATTTGTCACTGCAGCTTCCCGATGCTGTCTGCATTGACGGTCCAGATGTTTCGTAACCGTACGCCACATATCGGTCAATCTGTCTTTTTGTCTTCGTACTCTTCACTGCGTGCTTCGCTGCTACGGTACTGTCAGGAGTGCACAGTACATTTAAGCATTTGATATTCGTAACATGAACTGCGACATCCACAGCTCGATCAGGATCGCGAACAAACCTGGATTCGTCAATCGTACCGAATGTACAACCAAGCAAATTATGTCTCATAGAAAAGGTTGAAGTTTGGAATTTATACGAGTTTCACATTCAGAGATTCTACAAAATGTACCCACACATTTGTTACAATTGTGAAAACGGCAACACCGCAGATTCTATCAATACTTCGAGCCAATGGGACACATGTGCACATTTCTCGAAGCTGATATTTGGCGCCGAACCTGCAAATGTAGCCTCTCAACCAGTGGGGCTGACACCTACCTGCCCAAGCAACTTCTAGGTTTCCGAGACTACTTGCGTTGTTTTCTTTTCGACGCGTTGCGTCGAAAGCATCTTTCACACGCAAAATCTACTTCCTACAAACCCTACTTTTGATTTTGCGTGTGAACCCTACGAGTTTTAAGTTTTAAGTTTTAAGTTTTATTGATGGTCGTAACCAATACAAATGATACAAGCAACAGCAATGATGACGAATCAAGGTCGTAAAAACAACCTGCACTGTATCGTGCTAGCTGCCCAGCAGGACTCCCGCTGGCACCAGGGACCACCTGATGGCCGGTACCAGGCCTAGGTGAGGATGCAACGTTCACGGGGGGCGGAAAGGGTCGTTCAGGAGCCAGGTCCGTTGTAGTGCTGGGTGTATTGAAGGGTACAAAGAAGAGTCAAAGCACAGGAGGCGGAGAGACTGGGCGTAGCGAACCCTGGATGCCGTTGCTCTTTGGAATTTGATCGACCGCACTTTCCGCTGCCAGAAGAAAAGCTTGCAAGCGGAAAGGAAAGCTCCTAGGACACGGTGCAGGATGGAGATGGCTGAGGAAGACTCGCGCTGATGTACAGCCGCGCAGCGCTCATCCCAGAGGGTCTTGGCAGCAGCGCCCACCAACAAACACCAAGGTGCAATCTGTCCAGCAGGGTGGGAGAGAGGGAAGAATACAAGCGGAGCCGGGACAGTCACTCCCAGGTGCGAGCGGGCTACCCGACAGAGAGCCGCTGAGACTGACGCCGCTGGGCCACACTCATTGAAGACGTGTAGGAGGGTCTCAAGGGGTCTGGGTTGACAGCGACGACAGCTGCCACCATCTTCCATGAAGCGGAACCGGGCACCTGTGGGAAGGGCTCGTGCAAAAAGGCGGAGGAGGAGGTCACGGGGGCGACTGGGCTGCTCGCGGAGAAAGGGGTGTCTAAGCGAGGGCAGTGCAGGGACAGGGATCTGTAACGCCGTCGACCAGGCTTCCTGTATGGAGAGCGGCTGGGGGCGGTAGAACTGTTTGCGAAGGACTGCTAAGGATGGTGGTTCAGGGCGGAGCAAGTCTATGCGATCAGCTAACCCAGCACCGGAGCAAAAGGGGCCATGGATCCATCTGTCACGGACGAGGATGGTGAGAAGGGAGCGCTCGGGGACGATGCTGCAACTGGCGGGTTCCCTGCCTACACGTCTACAACTGATGTCATACCTATCTGCTACCACCAGACCTCCTGGTAATGGGAACCGAACCTGCAGAAGTTGAGGGGGAGAGAGGGGAGGAGGGGAGACAGGGACAGTCCAATCGCCTGCAGCCAAGGAACCCAGAGGGCGTTGAAAAGGGAGTAGGACCTCCCACCAGTCCAGAGGAACCGCTTCGATAATGGCAGTGAGGATACGTCTGCTGCAGGGGAAACGAGCAGTAGGGAATTGACGGAAAATTTCAACTCTGGAGAGGCGACGAAGACCAGTCTCTGTAGGGGTGAGGAGATGACCAAGGCGGAGTTGGAGGGTGAAGAGAGGCAGTTCTTCTTTGAGACCACCAAAGGGCTGCCCGTCCGGCTTGAGGAGAAAACGATTAAAGGGGAGAGGTTCTGCCAGTAGGACCCAAGGTTCCAGGCGTGGGGGGTGAATGAGCGGGGACATGGCCAGGAAGGACTCAAGTTCAGCCCTGGCACGCGCGGGGGTGGAGACATGGAGATGTCTCAAGATGAGGGGGTGGAGAAGGAAGCAATGAAGTCCGAAAGGCAAGGTGGAGCAGCTGCGTGCGATGTCCTCAAACGGGGTGGGCCGGAAACGGCGGCAGGCTCTCTGGACGTTGAGGGCAGAGACGTACTGCGAGGGTTCGAGACCGCCGATCCCGCCGTGTTGTTTTTTATTATAGAGGATGCGTTTGGTGAGAAGCCGGGAGACGAGGCCTGTGTAGTGATGCTTACTGGCGGAGAGGAAATTTCCAACGAGCATGTCCAGCTGCTTAAGCAATCGAGGGGGAGGAGGCTGAAAGCGGCCGCCAAAGGCAATCCGGGGGATGACCCTCTCAGTGACAAGGGCAGCGCGGCACGAAGCAGTGAGGTGGAGTTTGGAGAGAAATGCGATGGTGGATGAGGCTGTGGCGAGAATCTGTTCCCACGTCCTGACTCCGGGTTGGGTCTGTTGAACGAACACACCCAGAATACGTTCAGCGTCTTCGGGCTGGCGCACCGGAATGGGGCCTGCATGCATAATCTGCTGGTGCGGGATATTAAAGGGGAGGATGGAGCACTTATTCCAGTTAGGCTGTTCCCCGGAGACCAGGGCAAAGGAGTCCAAAAGCTGGGAGGCAGTGTGAAGTTCGGAGTCTGAGTTGAGGAAAATGGAAATGTCATCGGCATAGCATGCTGCCAGACGCCGTTGGTGGTTAGAGAAGGCGAAACCCGGGAGGGCAGAGGACAGATGGCGGTGAAGGACCTCGATGACACAGATGAACAAGAGGGGGGCTAGGGGACAGCCTTGACGGACGCCTGAGCGGACCGGGAAGTCGGGTCCTGGATGATTATTGACCAGTACCCGGGTTGAGGTGTCAGTGTGGAGGAGGCGTACCCAAGTGATGAAGTCGGAAGGCAGGCCGAGATAGGACAAACACTGGTACATGAACTCGCGATCTACTAGGTCGTATGCTTTGCGAATGTCTACAGTGAGTACAAGGAGGGGTACGGAGCGGGCAACTGCCCATTCCATTAAGTCGAGAGTGTCGTTGATCGTATCTCCAATGCTACGCCCACGCACAAAGGCTGTCTGGGCGGGGTGGATAATGTGTCGCAGAACAGGTTGAAGACGGTTGGCGAGGCAGATGGCGAGAATTTTGTAATCAGCATTCATGAGCGTAATAGGGCGAAGATCCTCGACCATTGAGGAAGCCTGCCGTTTGGGGATGAGGACAGTGCGACCACCTCTCATAGAGGGGGGCAACAACTGAGAGCGCCAGATTGACGCGAAGAGTTGATGGAAGACCGGGCCGAGGAGAGCACGGTAAAAGCGGAAGAAGTCTCCCGGCAGGCCATCGCTGCCGGGCGTCTTGCCAGGGGCGAGAGAGGCCATTGCCCGATCAATTTCGGCAAGCGAGAAGGGCGCCTGTAAGGGAAGCAACAAAGCTGACGGTGGGGATGAGGGGGGGAGGTGATGCCAGAAATCCGACGGACGAGCGGGTTGGGGAGGGGCCCCGTAGAGGTTGGAAAAGAAGGAGGTGCAGTGGGCGGTGATTTCGCCGAGGTTGGAGGTGAGGCGGCCAGAGGGGAGTGTGATCGCGGAGACTTGCGAGGCCTTGATATGAGAGTTGAGGCCACTGAGAAGAGACGGGACCCCCATCTCACGGGCCCCCTCCACTTTGAGCTTGGCTTTGAAGGCGATATCAGCGGCACGAGAGGAAAGGTATTGTTCCAGCTGTCGGGAAGCCTGCTGTAGACGGTGCTGTATAAGGGGGTTATGGGGGAAGCGAAGGAGGGAGAGTTGGCACGTAGCGACAACCGACTGGAGGTGCGTCATTGTCTTGCGGACACGGGTGCGTTCTTCCGAGGAGAAAGACCGCAGGCGGGTACAAAGACGGGCTTTCCAACAGTCCCAATCAAGAGGGGACAACAGCAGAGGGAGGGAGTCTACCGCTTTCTGGACAAGGGTTTGAACGCAGTGTTTGCGGAGGAGAGAGTGAGGAAACCTCCAGGGTCTAGGGGCCGTGTTGGGGTCGTCTACAAGGATGGTGCACACAGGGTGTTGAAAATGGTCGGAGAGTTGGGGGGAGATGGCGACCAGGTCAGCCGACTGGAGCTGGGAGAGCCAACCATGTGAGACACAAATTCTATCCAGGCGAGAGGCCGGGCTGGACGCCAAACCAGCGCGTGCATGCGAAACAAAAGAGAAAGAGGGGAGAGAGGGATGGTGGATTCTGAAGGAGTCAACGAGACCGTGAGTGTTGAGGAGGTTGTTAAGGATGCTGGCTTCGCTTAGCTCATGCTGCAGGAGGGGGCGGTTACGATCGAGATGGTCGATAACAGCGTTGAAATCACCTGCCAAGATGATCCCATCACAGTTGGTGCAGGCGGTCAAGGCAGGGTGCAGAGTATCGTTCCACCAACGTCTCCGGACAGACGCATGGGTGGAGGGGTATATTGCGACCAAGCCCAGATGCAGCTGGAGGAAGCTGAGATGAAGTCTCAGGAGGCGATTGTCCGAGGAGGGTGCTCGCTCAGTGATGGTGATGCGCTTGTTAAACACTAGGACGATGATACCGCCCGGTCGTACTCTCCCAGCGACTACAGAGGGCGGAGAGTGTGCGTACGCTCGTGGCTTAAATTTAAACAAGAGCTCGCGGAAAGTGGTCGTGACGCGGGTGTCGATGAGGATGAGGATGTCAGGCGGGTGAACTAGCCATGCGCGAAACAAGTCCATTTTAGCAGTAGTGCTAAGACCATTGATGTTAATGCTGGTAATGCGTAGGGGGATTTTCATGGAGGAAATGCAAACGCCCTGATATGCCGTAGCATACCCATCCACAGGGCATAAACTAATATATGAAACTGTGGTACATCCCCAACCAAGAATATGTTACAACTGAAATCCGATTGTATTATGTACTGAAACAACCATATAGAGGAGAGTCTACAGAAGACACACAAGGTATGTCTGCAAACAAAGAGGCAACTACTCCTCAGAGGCCATGGCCTGAGATGCCAGGAAGGCGGCGACAGTAGGGTGCTGCACCAGTCGCGCCGCTTTCTGGTTCCCTTGGGCGAGGCGGGGAACCACCACACCCTCCGGGCTGTTGAGCTTGGAGACGTGCTCCGCCGAGCGGAGATGGTCCAGGGCGCTATCCAACGCTGGGCCACAGACGAAATCACAGAGGGAGCAGGTCCAGGGCTCCACAGCGTACTCCATGCCGATGAGCAGGAGACCAGGATCCGCACGGAAGGCCATGATTGCCGGCGTCTGTCCAAGATTCTGACCTGAGGTAGGGGGCAGAGTGAAGAGGCAAGCAGAGAGAGGGGGCCAGAAGAACAGGGAGGAAGGGAGAAGTAGACCGGGGCCCAGCGCCCAGGATAGACGACCATCCAGCCAAGCAGAGCCGGAAGGTACGTAAAGGGGGGAAGGGGGCAAAGAGCAGACCATGCAGAAGAGAAGCGAACCAGAAACAAGAGGCGTAACCTTCGAAGGCAGAAAAGCAGAAATGGAAGCAGAGGGACAAAACACAAAGAGAAGAACGCCGGGGCGAGAGAGGCGGTACCATTGTGCTGTTGAAGCTGCAGGACCGTCAGCAGGGACGGGTTGGGAGCTTTGCCAGCGCGATACACCGCGAAGACCTCGTGATCATTGGTGCGATGGTTGCTGGCGCAGATGGCGCAGGTATGGCACGACAGGTGCACATACATGGGATCGCCCAGGAGAGGGTTAGGGGGAAGCAGGACAAGGGGGAGGAAAGCGAAGTCCGGATCACCAGTGACCGGCGTGACGATTCCGGCGAACTGAGGCAGATCGAAACCCGTAAACGGATTTTTCACACGATGAAAATGCTCCAGCGTGGCCAGCCACTTGTGCCCGCCGGTCCTGCCAGAAAGAAGCTTAGCACGCACGCGGGCGATGTCACAGTTATCCGGAAGGTTACGGACCAGGATCGTCGTCGCACCCTGTGCTTTCGCTGAGGCGAAGCCAGGAGACGTCTCCTGAAAAACACGAAGCTCAACAAATTGCCCGTCAGCGAGGCGCACACGCATGGGGAAAGAGTCGCGGAAGACACGAGCATCGGCGGCGGTCGGCCAGGCGTAGAGCTGCCGACCATAGGAAGCACGAGGCAGCTTAAGCAGATCGCCAGAAGAGGTCTCGTAGAGGGGGATCACGCCACCGGGGAACTGTTCGTCGCGAAATTTCGCCATGATCGCCAGATGAATCGCAGACCGAAGCTTTTCCGCTGCGAACTTCTCTTCCATCAGAATGGTGACAGTGAGCGCCGGATCCCTGGTGACAGACTCGAGGACAGCGTCAGTGTAACGGCGCAGAAGGGCGTTACGTGCACGCAGAGCCGCAGCACGGGTAACAGGAGCAGGGACAGGAGCGGAGGTGACAGGGGCAGATGTCGGAGGGGGGGGAGGGAACGGCGCGTCTGCCGAAGACTCAGTTTCCTGCTGGGCGCCAATCGCACCCAACGCCGGAGACGACACCGCCGCGCGGGTACCGCCACTCGGACGAGAGGGCAGAGGGGCTCGTGGCGGAAGAGAGGCAGCAGGACGAGGCGGCGGGACCTCAGGCTCAGCTTGCATCGGATCCGCCATCACTGCACTAGGGGCGGGAGAGGAGGCACGCTTGGGGGGGTGGGAGAAAGCAGAGGAAGAGTCGTCGTCACGAGGGCGTTTAGACTGAAGTTCTTCGCTCTCTGCAAAGAATTCTTCTAGCGCATGATCAGAGACGTCAAGGTCAACATCGAGCATCATCTGAGAGTCCATCGTGCAAGGACACAGAAAAGGAACGAGAAAGGGAGAAAGAGGCAGACGCGACGAAAGCCAAAACAGAGGAAAAGGAGGGGGAAGCAGACCAGGGCGGGGCGATCGAAGCGCGAGCGACACGATCAACTGGATCGGGCTTGAGGGCCCGTCCAGAGAGGCGCGGCGTAAGCGCTTGAGGGCGCAAACGCCGGCATGGTTTCCAACCGAGGGAGGGCGTGAGGGCCCAGCACGGTCCACAGAACATAGCACGAGGCGTCGAGGGAGACACGTCGTGAGAGGGAGAGAGCCAGCACACCACAGAGTGGCAGGTAAGGCAGAGCAAGAAAGGAGCTCATGCACACCTACGAGAGGGACCGTCAGGGACCACACCGGGCCCTGGAGCAGGAGGATGTGGCTGACGGCGACAGCACCACCAGATGCATGAACGCCAAGAAGCCAGCGGTGCAGGGGGCATTCATTGCGACGAGTGCGCTGACTCAGCCCGATTGCCAACGGTGCAAAGGACAGGTCCGATTTGCGGCAGAGGGCAGCAGAGGTCCCAAGCGTGGAGATGCCTGGGGCAGGAAACGGGGCAGCGCAACAGCAACACAAACCTGCACACCAACCAAAGGAAACGAGGAACACGAAAGTAAACAACCAGCTTACCTCATGACGGGAGAAAACGGCGAAAATTTTCCTGGAGGCGGAGGCTTCCAGAAGATGTGCATTCAGGTCAGCGGAGGCGACGGTTGGATGTTCCAAGCATCCCCGTCCAACAGGACGGTGGTCGGGCAGCATTTTTCCGTGGATGCTTTTTCTTCCAGGAGTTGTTGCTGCTGATTGGACTGATGGAGCGATGTTGGGTGCAAGGGAAGTGCTAACCGTCGATTTTGATGAGGCTGAGAGCTGGCGCTGCCTCTTTGTGTGGCTCGAACGTGCCACCCCCACCAAGACTGCATCTGGAGGAGCCTCTCTAGAGTGGACGTGTGAACCCTACGAACCCTACTTTTCAGGAACCCCCATTTTTGGAATGTTGGTTGGTTTCTATGAACATGAAGCCCTATGCCACGGTGGCATGAACCTCTTCCGTGATCCACGCTACCAATCAGCACAACCATATCCGAAACCTCCTTACACTGTGTACACCATAGGACTCGGGGCTCGGCATCCTGTGTCTCCCACTCTCTCCCCCCTGGCCTACAAATTGCCTCTCCTCTATACGCAGCAGCAAAGAGGGGAAACACGCCACGCCAGCAAGGAAGGAATGTTGGCGTTGGGGGGTGTTCGGTTTCTGAAAGCGGGTAGCACGCTGAATAATTTCTGGCGGGCTTGACAAGGCTGCCCCGCATGGTGCAGCCTCGAGACGGTGCACTATGCGCGGCATCAGTGGTGCGGCAGATTGCCAGGAGAGGACGTTTTTTGGAACGCGCGATCGGTTCCCAGTATGGGGCCCAAAAGGCTGCTCCGCTGTCATCCAGCACGTTATCGAGGAAGATTTGAGGGTGGTGGTTTCTCTGTGGCTGGTTCCCGGGCCTGTGCGTGATGCGCGCTGAACAGGGCCCACACGGCACACGCATCCATCCACCTACGACATTTCCTGTGACAGTACTACTCTCTCACCACCACCATCTCTCACTTCAGCGCGAGAAGCTCAATCCCGTCGGTTCGACGCACAGCACAGCCTAAGTAGGCGCTGTGCGAACCCTGATGACTGTGCTCGGTCTCCTTTGACCGCACCGCAGTTAAGCGACAGGAACATTCATCTATTCCCTTCGCTGAAACACTTTATCTCAGCAGGAGCTTGAGATAATGGCGCACAGACGTCACGGCTGCAGGGCTTCGCCCATAACCTCGAGTTGCCTACTCCTATCAGTGGCATTCTCAACGGTTTTGTGTACCCGTTCTGCATCCGCGACTTCTCGAGTCGCTCTCCTCCTACTCCAATGTAGCGTTGCTGGATCCGCGCTACGAGCTTTACTGGACCGTTAACAATAGCGATGCGACCATCCACATGGCAGTGAATGCCAAGACGACGGGGTGGTTCGGTATAGGCATCTCCGAGATTGGATCCATGGTGGGCTCAGGTACGAAATCCATACGGTCGGGTTAGGTGTGATTCGTGTTGTTTCTTTCCATTGAACGATTGATTGAACACGACGATTACGGAATGTAGGGATCAGATCAGACCGTCGATTCATCCGTCATCGTTCTCTCGCTCATCCAGCTGCATTCGTGTGCGAACAGATGCCCTCGTCGCATGGGTCGCACAGTCCGACGCCCGCGCGTATGCGACGGATCGCTTCATCTTCAACAAGACGACTGAAGGAATCGCACTCGACGACAAGCAGGACTGGCACGTGCTGGGTGGCAGCCAGACCACGAACCAATCCACAGGCGACACGTGGACCACTGTGCACGTGTGGCGCCAGCTGGACACGGGCGACTGCAACGACCGCCCGATTGTTCCTGGGAAGCTTCACAACATCATCTGGTGTAACACCTCGCTACCCACTGGGTCAAAACGAGGGTTGTATTTGAGGCGCAGTGGATGCTCTCATACCCTTACGTGTAAGCCCCACAGGCGTTACACTCGTCCCCCCCTGGAGCCAACGTCCTCGTTGGGCAGGGAGTCGGCCCTCGCAAGGACCTGAATCTCGCTCTACAGCGACTTCGCTGGTGGGCCAGGCCAGCGGCGGATCGTTCACTGGGTTCGCGACTGGCACATTCAAATGTGACCCAGCCGGGAATCGAACCCCAGGCTCTGATACCAAATGTAACACCTCGCTACCCACTGGGTCAAAACGAGGGTTGTATCTGAGGCGCAGCGGATGCTCTCATACCCTTACGTGTAAGCCCCACAGGCGTTACATCTGGGCCATGGGCGCCACGACTAACGTCAGCTATCACAGCTCCGACCGCGGCGCTTCCGCGCTCGTGCTCGCTCCTGCCCCAGGCCCGTCCATTGTCGCGCCTGCGCCTCCCCCCTCCGCCTCCGCGTCCGCTGCGTCTCTGGCTGCGCCGCAACAGGCAGGGAAGCAGCCGGTGCAGCAGCAGCAGCAGCAGCAGCAGCAGCAGCAGCAGCAGCAGCAGCAGCAGCAGCAGCAGCAGCAGCAGCAGCAGCAGCAGCAGCAGCAGCAGCAGCAGCAGCAGCAGCAGCAGCAGAGCATGCTGAATTTCACGTTCACGAAGTACCGGCTGCCAACCGACTTCACGAGCTATCGCTGCAAGGTGCGCGGTGCTGCTGCAATGCTCCGTCCATGCGCCATTTCCCTACACGCATTCCGTGAGACACCGTTTCTGAATCACGCTCGCACACCTTTCCCGCCCCTCTCTGCACCCATCTGTGACCCTCACCACTGATCTTCAATCGTTTGCACCGTTCTGCACCCATCTGCGCCCATCTATGCGCCCATAGGTGGTGGACATTCCTCTCAAGGCCAAGAGTCATGCGGTTGAGTGGGGTGCCATTCGCAACTCCAGCGACATCTCAGCCGTCCATCGTGCTGCAATCTACGGCTGCAAACTGTAAGCGATACATATCCTCCCCACTCACCCCCCTCCCCCTCCCCCACCCCTTTATTTCCCCCGTGGGCAAATAGCACACCCCCCCACCTCCTTTTACGGCCAGCATGACACTTCTGTGAACTCCGAAATGAGAGTTCTCTCTCCCTCCGCCTCCCCCGTTACAGCGAGGAGTACGGCAATCTCACGGGTGTGGGGGGCGAGTTTGACTGCCTGCACCAGGCCGACAATCCATGCCCCACCACTGTCGCCGTGTGGGCTGTGGGCGGCAGACCCTTCACCTTCCCGCCCAATGTCGGCTACCCCATCGGCCCGGGCTACTTCACCAAGTTCATACTGCAGGTGGGTGGGTGCAGTGCGGTGCAGTGCGGTGCAGAACTCACTACATTTCTGGAGCGTTCTTCCCACCACCGTTTCTAGCGCTAACCAGTCCAAGCCCCCTTTTGGAGGCTCCTTACAAGTCGTCCCACCATGTCTGGTACGAAACTCTTCCCAGCCTCCTCCTCTTACTCCCCTGCCCCACGCACATGCCTTGCGCTGTGCTTCTCATGCCTCAGAATCACACACCAAACATCTTCCCTTTCCCCTCCCTCTACCCGCACCCCTCCCCCTCAGGTGCACTTCACCAACCCCAAGGGCCGTGCTGACCTCATCGACAGCTCTGGGCTGTACCTGAAGCTGGCGCCCCTCGCTGCGCCCCATGGACGCGTTCATCATGCTCGCGGGGCCCGCCTCGTACGAGTATCTCATCCGCATCCCGCCCACCATGCCGTCGTGGACGCAAGTCAGCACGTGCGCCAGCCAGTGCACCTCTGACGTGTTCCAGAACGAGAGTGTGAAGATCATCGGGTCCTTTCTGCACCTGCACTCGCTGGGACGACAGGTGAGGGATGAGTGGACTGCTGCAAATCAGGTGCACCTGTGGTAGTATATATATATAGCCTTGTGTGGTGGTATGGCCTCGTGTATGTGGAGTGGAATGCCAGACCTGGACGCAAGTCAGCTCATGCCCTGCACCTGCACCTGCACACCCTGGGGCGACAGGTGAGGGATGAGTGGACTGCTGCAAATCAGGTGCACTGGCGCTGTGGTGTGGGCCCGTGTGGTATCCCCTCACATGCCCCCCTGTTGCCCATGCCTCATGCTGCCCATGCCTCATGCTGCCCATGCCTCATGCTGGCCATGCCTCATGCTGGCCATGCCTCATGCTGGCCATGCCTCATGCTGCCCATGCCTCATGCTGCCCATGCCTCATGCTGCCCTTGACCCCATGCCCCCATGCTTGGTATTATTGAGGATTCTCAGCAATACCTTGCCCCTGGTGCCCCATGCCTCCATGGCCCCCTTGGAGTCGATTCTGAAAGTTCTCAAAAGATTCCCAACAATACTTTGCCCCTGTGGCCCCATCCCTGCATGCCCCCCCTGAGCAGATATACTCGGATGTGTTCAGAAAAGGTAGCAAGTCGCACTTTTGAGTGGCCTCAATTGCTCCCATGCCCCGCATGCCCCCACGCGTCCATGGGCAGTTATACACGGATGTGTTCAGAAAGGGCAGCAAAGTCGCCACCATCAGCCGCCAGGACTACTAGTGAGTTTGCTTTATCGCGCAACCACCGCTCTAGTTCACCCAACCACCGCCCCCCTTTGCTCGTCTTTACCACACTTTACGCCTCTTTAGCCCCCTTCAAAACCCTGTTACCGTTCCTGATCTCTATCCCCACCCACTGACACGAACCCCTGCAGCATTGCTGCGTTGCAACATGCCATGGGTACTGGAACCTTCCCTTCCCTCCATCTTCCCTTCCTTTTGCCCTTCCTTCCCTCTTCCCCTCCACCCCATCCCCCTCACACCCCAACCAATCGCAGCCACGTTGCATCGCAGCAGACCATGTCCTTCACACCAGAGCTCGAGCCGCTGCCAGGGGGCGAGCTCACCACACGCTCCCCTCCCTCCCTGCTTCCCTCCCTCCCTCCCTCTCTCCGTCGTTCCCTGTTTTCCTCTCCCCCCGCACCCGAACAGCGACGGTGCATCGCAGCAGACCATTCCCGTGGCGCCAGAGTTTGAGCTGCTGCCAGGGGACGAGCTGAGCACCACTCCCACGCACTTACCTCACGTTGTACGGTGTCAGTTCCACTCTAATGTTGACAGCCCCCTTTACAGTAAACTCCTCTGCCCGCTGTCCCTCTCTTATGTCCCTCTCTGTCCGTTGGTGCATGCAGGTGACGGTAGGAGGGCCATCCATAGAAGACGAGATGTGTGCTGACTACCTCATCTACTACCCCGCTCGCCAGGGCCACGGCAATGCTTCTTCTTCCCGTGCACAGGGAGCAGCAGGGTAGAGGTAATGCTTCTACTCATTGGGTGATGCGTTTCAATTGGAGACCCACCCTCTCACACGCCCATTGCTGCTCCAACCAGGGATGGACAAGTGTTACGACTGCTGTGCATCGGATGCGAACGAGACTCTCGGCAGGTGCCCAACAGCCCCACGCTCTTCTTGTCAGCAACCCAACCCCTCTCCAACAGTCCTTTCCCCTACCAACACCCCTTCCCTCATTCCCCCTACCATCTCCCGCTCATGCTTTCACACGCCCAGAGATGGCCTTGCATGGGATAAACTCATGCTATGACTCTCCGTGCATTGTATGAGAACGATACTTTTGGCAATATGGCCATACCAGGGGATCCCAACAGCCATACTGCTTACAGCCCTCCCCCATCCAACCCCTTTTCCCCTCCCTCGCCTCACTCCATGCAGTGATGAACGTGTGCCATGACTTCCATGCATTGTACGAGAATGACACTCCTGGAGTGGACTCTAACAGCCTTACCTTGCACGTACACCCACCTTTTTTCCCCACCCCAACCCACCCCATTTCTCTCCCCGACCCACCCCCTTTCTCCTCCCCAACCCAACCCCCTTTCCCCCTTGCCCCACCTCACCCCCACCAGAGATGAACATGTGCTATGACTTCTGTGCATCATATGAGAACAACACCTGGAACATGGACCCAAACAGCCCCACGCTCTCAACGTTCTACACGTGTGGCGGGTCCAACGTCATCCCTTCTGGCAAGCCCTGCAGGATCACATTCGGTGCCAACTCGCCCAAGAAAGTCGTCAACGGCTGTCCCGCTCAGTAAGTAACACCTCTCGTCAGGCGCAGACAAACCCCACTGCACCGCACCACACCCGTACCCTGTTACATCACACTCACTCCCCTCCTACCAGCCCTGCAAGATCACCGTTGGTTCCAGCACGAATGAGAAGGTTAGCAACGGCTGCCCTGCTGAGTGATTTGAGATAAAAGCGCATTGCAGTGCACCATGCCACAGCCCTACACTGCCACACCATTTCGACACACATGCGCACTTCAAAGGTCACCTGGTCACGGTCTCATCACCACACCGTGTAATCACCACACCGTGTAATCACCACACCGTGTAATCACCATACCGTGTAATCACCACACACCTGCCCTTCATTGTCCCACATTCCTTCAACCCACGACGGGACCCATGCATCGCTGGCAGACATCCCCTCTTATTGTTTTATCCACGCTGTGAAAGTTCCTTCTCTTGGTTTTAGAAAAGAGGAACACATACCGGTAGTTGATAGTACATCAGATTGGTGTACCGTATTTGTATGCAACACAACCACCAAGCTTCTATCTGATCAATCAACCCCTTTGAAAATTGGCTCAAAGCGCAGCTTCTAGGGGTGATACGCTCTTGTTCACTGTGCCAAGGAAGGAGTCCCTACCATCCAGTCTACCTATCCGCCTACACACATCATCATTCACAAGGCAGCCCCCTTCCGGCGGCTAGAGGGCTGTGAGCTTGGTCAGCGCAGTGAGGTGCAGCAGCCCATCATCCGTGACTGCTGTGCCATCCACAGCAAGCTCATCAAGCCCTGCCATCCTCCCCAACTGCACCATGCCAAAATTTGTCACACCCTGGCAGAACGACAGCCACAACACTTGGAGGGAGGACAGGGCGGTCAAGTGCGGCAGACCAGCATCAGTGACCTTGGTCCGATTGAGATAGAGGTCCCCGAGACTAGCCAGGGACCCGATGCCTTCCAAGGCACTGTCTGAGACGTCTGTGCCGATGAGGTCTAGTTTCTCGAGCTGTAGCAGCATGTAGAGGTGCTTCATGCCCTCTGCACTGAAGCCTGAGCTGCACTGCAGGTCGATGCTCCTGAGGTGGGTCATGGTGGACACGTGGCTGAGGATGGTGTCTGAGAGGCCGTGGATGGTCCTCAGACTCAACTCAGTCCCCCGTGACGCTGACTTGATTTGCTGGAGATGATGGATGGAGATGGAAGGGAAATGGATGAAAAGAGAAGGAATGATCAAGTCTCGACATCAAAAGAGAAGGAATGATCAAGTGTCGACATCAAAAGAGAAGGAATGATCAAGTGTCGACATCAAAAGAGAAGGAATGATCAAGCGTCGACATCAAAAGAGAAGGAATGATCAAGTGTCGACATCAAAAGAGAAGGAATGATCAAGTGTCGACATCAAAAGAGAAGGAATGATCAAGTGTCGACATCAAAGGAGAAGGAATGATCAAGTGTCGACATCCAAAGAGAAGGAATGATCAAGTGTCGACATCAAAAGAGAGGGAATGATCAAGTGTCGACATCAAAAGAGTGCGCATCCTGTCAACCAATCGCTCCACACGCACCTCCCAAGCAATCTTCCGATGGCCTTCACTCTGGCTGATCTCCAGCTCAACAATCTGCCAGCTCCTGCACGCTGCCAACTCCTCCATGGCTCGCGGCCAATTCAGCTCCTGCACCTCCCTCCTCCTCTCCTCCCTCTCCCTTGCCAACTCCGCTCTCATTTCATCCTTGCCCTTCCTTGCTTCCTCTCTCAGATCTCTCAAATCCGATTCCCTTCTTCTCTCAGCCATGTCTAGTAGGTCTCTCACAGCATCCTTGTGTTCACTCATCTCCCCTTTCACTGCAGCCAGCTCCCTCTCCCTCCCTTCCACCTGCCCTCTCATCTCACTCATCTCCGCCATTCGTCTCCTCTCAGCCTCTTCCAAACCCCTCTTCCTCTCCTCCACCTGTTCTCTCAGCTCTCTCAATTCCGCTGCCTTTCTTTCTTCAGCCTCCTCCAACTGAGTTACCACCAGCTCCTGCTCCCTGAGCGCCCTCTTCAGTTCTGCCAGCTCCTCCCTGAACTCACGCAACTCTCTCAACCCCTCTTCTGTCCGACTCTCAGCCTCCTCCAATTCCTCCCTAGCGACAGCCAGCTCCCTCCTTTTCTCTTCTAGCTGCACGCCAATCGCCCTCATGCTCAACTCCTTCGCCTCACTCATCTTGTGTCTCCCAGCCATACCCACAGTGACCGTCCCAATAACCTCACCCGCTCTCTGGATCCAGGCACTGGCACGATTTCTGCCCATAGAAGCACATGGGAACACATGAGAACAGACGGGTGTAGCAGCAAGAGTGTGGTAGCAGATGGTATGGTACGAACATGGTTAGAAGAAAGTGGAACAGTTAAGGGATTGTGAGGAAGACGGGTGAAATGCGAGGATGTTTTGCTGTCAACATCATAATTGCAAATGATGGAAACCATCAGACATTATCAGAGCCAGAGGAGGGCATACAAGGGAGAAGGAAGAAAGATCACAAAACGAAATTTCAAGGTTAAGTGCACAGGCTATATGGCGATGACAGGAGACATAAGAATGCACAAACATAAAGTTGGCCATAAAACAAGAACGAAAGAAGAGGATGCAATGCGAATACTCAAACATGGACCCCAGGATGGGACTGAGGGATGGTGAGGTGGAGCAAACTCACACGGTGCTGCGCAGTAGAGGGAAGATTCCTCGTGGCTGCATCATGGTGCGGGCAAGGAAGGAAAGGCGGGATGAGTGTCAAAGGGAGTAAAGGAGAGAGTAAATTGAGCGAGGGAGAGTGGAAGACAGAGCTTGGAAGAGAGAGGGAGAAAGATTAAGCACAATGACAAGCTGAAGTGGTGGAGGGCAGAGAGCAGGGCATACCACAGGCCACTTGTTTGCACTCTTCAGCTTCATCAGTTTCAACAGCCCAACCGTCAGCCCAGCCATCAGAGCCAAGCCCTGCTGATGCGCCCATGCTCTGCCTTGCGTGAGGGTCATGCCCATCCACCACAGGAGTACCATGGGAGTGGCGATGCCAGAGACAAGCACGAAGATAGGAGTCTGCAGGTGTGGGGGGATGGGGGATTAGAAGTGATCACAAATACGAGGGGCGAGACATTTCAGGCTCAACAGAACTATGCCAAACAATTTGGTTGCAGCAAGGTCTGAGGATGGGTGGGTGCAAGGCTACACATGGCAAGAAAGCATTGAAAGTGCATTCTGCACATGTATAAGTGCAGGCGTGTGTTAGTCATGTGCCTTGCTCATTGTGAAAAGGATTTGGGAGGCATGTGGTGATGTGTGGGATGGCGATGTGTGGGATGGTGATGTGTGGGATGGTGATGTATGGGATGGTGATGTGTGGGATGGTGATGTGTGGGATGGCAGCGCCGGAAACGAGAACCACCTGGAGAAAGGGAGAGCAGCATGACACACAAAACAGCACTACTCGGTGCCTCACATCGACTCCTGGTAGTGATGACTCACATCGGCTGCGGTGGTGGTGGCACGCCAGGCATCCATCCCAAGTGGCGTCTTGCTGATGATAGGGATGAGTGCAATGGCAGCGCCGCCAAGAACGAGGGCCACCAGCAGCCCTGGCAGCAGCATGGGCAGTGCAGTCATGCGAGGCTTGGCTGATGGGGTGAGCCCACTGCAAGGCGTGTGCCTGCACAATGGTGGAATGACGGGGAGGAAGGACGGGATGGGAGGGAGGAGGGTGGAGGGGAAGAGGCCAGACAGCAAGGACAACAACGGAGGCAGGCATGGGGCATGAGGCATGAAGCATGGGGCATGGGGCATGGGGCATGAGGCATGGGGCATGGGGCATGGGACATGGGGCATGGGGCATGGGACATGGGGCATGGGGCATGGGACATGGGGCATGGGGCATGGGACATGGGACATGGGGCATGGGGCATGGGACATGGGGCATGGGGCATGTGACACGGGGCATGAGGCATTAGACATGTGGCATGGGGCATGGAGCATGAGGCATGTGGCATGGGTCATGGGGCATGAGGCATTAGACATGTGGCATGGGGCATGGGGCATACGGCCAGAAACACTCTGACAGCTCCGATGCAAATTAGCCGAGTGTGAGAGAGGGGAGGAGGGACGGGAGGGAGGAAGGGGGAGGGGAAAGGAAAAGAACAGGGGGGGTGGGATAAGATCATAAGAAAGCAATGGTTTTGCTGGTGTACAATTGGATATGTAATATACTCCACATAGTGAATGACTGCAGTGCGTACCTGATACTAGAGATGCATATGGACAGGCAAAGGCGGGCCGCCCGAGAGCAACAGGCCATGGCCACTGCAGCCACCCAAGCCATGGCTGATGGGGCGAGCCCACTGCAAGGCACAATAAGCCTGCTGCACGGGGAGTAGCAACAGGAGCACGCAACAGGGTGCGGAACAGGGAGGAGCAGCAGCAAGAGGAAGGGGGAGAATGGCAACAGTGGGGTAGGAGAGAAGGAAGGTCGTCATGCATTGAGTCCATGCAGGAGGATGTCTCAAAATGGACCATACAGGCAATAGATGGATGGTGGGGCATAATAAAGAATCAATTTGACTGAAAAAAACGCGACACAAAGTCTTATTTTGAGGCTAGGGAAGAGGTGAAAGGCCTGAAAAACCATGCAAAATATGAACAAAAGCGGCACAGCGTTGACATTCGAAGAAAGGTTATGGGGACGAGAAGGAAGGCGAGTTAAGGGAAGGGAGGGAGGGAGGGAGTAGAGGCAGTGGCAGGGGGCTAGGTGACCAGAGGCAGTAACACAAGCGGGAGGGGAGGAAAATAACATGATTAGGAAGGGGAGAATGGGAAAGCTGCAGTAGCAGGGGGGGAGGGGAATAGCGGCAGTAGCAGGGGGGGAGAGGGGGGGGGGGGGGGGGATAACGGCATTATCAGAGGGAGGGGGGGGGAGGAATGGCGGCAGTATCAGGGGGGAAGGGGAAGAGCAGCAGTAGCAGGAAGGGGGGGGGGGTAGGGGGGATAGAGGCAGTAGCAAGAGGGGGAGGGAAGCTACGGCAATGGAAAATGGGGGGGGGGAATGGCGGCAGTAACAGGGGGAATAGGGGAATAGCGGCAATAGCAGAAGTAGCAAGAGGGGGGAGGGGAATTGCGGCAGTAGTAGAGGTGGGGAGAGGAATTGCGGCTGTATTCCTTGGGCGCACAACATTCATTGAGTTTTTTTTAAGGCCTGAAGAAGCCTTTTGTGAACGGTTCAGTTGTGGTTGATTGTCACATGCAGAGGAACGGTGAAGAAGAGGGTGGGCAGGGCACAAATGAGCTCGCACTACACGAATTATAAAACTGCTTCGAGATGTCTCAGAACAGACACGAATGACCTTCAGCTTTCACGAATCCCTGGCACGTGGCCAAGGGCAGGAGCACCGATGGAGGAAGAGAAAGGGCGGATGAATGAAGGGTTTTTGGGCAGAGAGAGGGCGATACCAGGGAGGCGAAAAGTAGACGAAGGATGGAGTAGATTGTGTTAAAGCAGACGAGGAATGGCGGTCATACCTGAAGCACTCAGCGATTGTGCCAGTTATGCTGTGCTGCGTTGGTTGGCCTTCCAGGGAGGCGAGCATGAGGTGCGGCAGGCGCCGAGATACAAGGGAAGTCACGCGGTGAGAAGACACGCCAGTCGATTATCAGCGGCTGGGCCGAAACGACGCAAGTCGAGGAGCAGGAGGGGAAGGGGGGGAGAGAATAAACACACTATTGCGCAGCGTCGCCGGGACGAGATTGGGTTGAAACTCTGTTATGAAGGCTTTTCTTCCGTGAACCTTCTGAGATCATCCAAACGTATCCGGAAAACACCGCGCCCCCGTTTCCTTTGAGAGTGCATGGCGGTGGGTGTCAGGCGAGGTGGACGAAGGAATTGGAGACCTTGACGTCGTCGTGACGAGGCATGGTGGTCCCAAACATCACTAAAACACGAGATCATGCAAGGCATGATGATGTGGTGCGCGCAAAGAATTAGGGTGGTGCGGTCTATCAACGTTGGAATGTGCTAAGGGATGGAGGCGAGGGCAATCCTCGCGTAACTCTGCATTCGCACTCGCGGTGGTTGAATGGACGCGCGGTGCTTCCTGACTTGCCTGAGCAAAAACATCCGTTTCTTTGAACCAACTACTCAGTGAGGGTCCAATTTACTGTTGGGCACTTGATCGTGTTTCACATGGTAGACCCTAGTGGAGGCTGTCAGAATGTTATGCTCTAGCGTGTAGTGGGGTGCTCTATAGCGAGTACAACCCTTCTAGGGTTTGCTATTTGTATCCTCATTCCTGCTAGTGAACCTCCTCTTTGCCTAAACTGTTTCTTGCCTAGCTAGGGCTTTCCTAGCTATGGCGCCTACTTCTACTGCTGATTTTCTCATGGTATTAGAGCGATATGCTCCTGGCCTGTGGGCCCCACCTCACTGCTTCCGCTACTACTGCTACTCTGTGTGTCGCACGCCCCGTTGCGTGCGACGGATTTTTCATCCCGCCGCGCGCTCGGAGCGTGCGGCGGTTTTCTGCCCGCTGTACGCCCCGAGGCGCGCGACGGGTTTCTGCCCCGTCACTCCGCGCGTCGCTCCCGGGAGGCGCTGCGACGGGCGACGGGGACCCGCGCGTCGCCCCCCGTCGCCCGTCGTGGCCTGCGCACGGCCCGTACAGGCTGCGCGCGGCCCGTACGGGCTGTGCCAGGCCCGCGCGCGGCCCGTATGGGCTGTGCCAGGCCCGCGCGCGGCTCGGGCCGCCTGCGCGCGGTTCGGGTGGCTGTGCCAGGCCCGTGGGCGGCCCGTTCTTCGCTGCCCCTGCGCTGCCCGCTGTCCCCCGTGCCTCTGATGGCGCCCCACCCCTGCTGCTGCCCGTTCTCCTGAATTAGGGTTTGGGGGTGGGGGGTATGGGGGTGCAGCTTCTGTGTGCCGTCCCCTGCTCCTCCTCCTCCTCTGTCTCCCAGTGCTGCAGCTACCGCTGAGGGGGATGGACCTGTTGGAGCCGCGGAGTGGTACTAAGGGGGGTGAAGGGGGAGTGGAGCTAGGGGTGAAGCAAGGGGTGTGTGTCAGGGGGAGTGGGACTGTTTGGGGAGGTTGAACGGAGGTTGCCGTCGTGTCGCCAGCAGCACCTGTAGTCCGGGAAGTTGCTCCGGTAGCCCAGTCGCAGCCAGCTGTGCCAGTCGCCCGTGGGTCCGTTGCTCGTCTGCCGCTACTTTTAGCCGCGGAGCCAGTTACTCCAGTAGTTTGGAGCGTTGTTCCGGTAGCCGCTGTGCCAGTGTGACTCCTGTTGCCCGTGTGTCTGCAGCTTCAGCCGTCGCCTCCTATCTCCTCTCCTCTCACTGTCCCTCCTCCTCCTCACTTGCCCGTTGTGACTACCACTAGCTTTGCTTATAATTGTGAACTTTAAACTATTGCTTCTTGTACTTGTGTTCAGAATGTGTGGTGACATTGTGATCCACCTTGAGCTTGTTCTGTTTTGCTTGCTCTGCTGATTACACCCCACTTTGGCTATGGGGGTGTGTCAGAATGTTATGCTCTAGCCTGTAGTGGGGTGCTCTATAGCGAGTACAACCCTTCTAGGGTTTGCTATTTGTATCTTCATTCCTGCTAGTGAACCTCCTCTTTGCCTAAACTGTTTCTTGCCTAGCTAGGGCTTTCCTAGCTATGGCGCCTACTTCTACTGCTGATTTTCACAGAGGCTGCTTTCCGTTTTTTTTTTTTTTTTTTTGGGTTGCGAAGCAACCTATTGCAATCAACCTAAAGAAAAACAAGAGGCGACGAAATCGTCTTAGGGTTGCGAAGTGTTTACGCATTTGTAAACACCAAATATATTGTACAGAATACTGTAGTATACCGTTAGTGTGCTTGATCTTGTCAGGTTTTGATAAACGACTTCTGCAGGCATTGAACTCAAGATTTTTCTATTAATCATGGAGTTTTAACCAATTGTGCTAACAATACTGTCTTTCTCAATCGAATTGCAAAATTGGTAAATAATATTTGCGACGAATCTGACACCTCTTTAGGGTTTGTTCGTCCCTCTTCTTCTCCCTCGCTAGTTGAGCTTCCCTCAAGTTTGGCTCTACCTACCAGTTCGAGTTCCTACTAAGGTGAGAACTTCTTTAACCCATCAAGTAGATTAAGTTACGCGATTACGAGCTAGTCTAATGTTGGCCTAAGGCATATTAGTCTAGGTCGTATTGGTAGCTTTTAAAGGATGAAAATCGTTAAAGCTTAGGTTGTAAACTTGCTGCAAAAATTTTAGCTTCAGGTTTTCCATAAACCTGCATCTGTTTTTCTGTTTTTCATCGACTAACATCTCCTAATCTCGTGTCTTAACTGTTTAGAAGGGATGCGGGTTGTTTAAGCTAAGGGTAGAGGCCCTTTGTCTAGACTTCACCGTTTTTCCTTGCCTTTCTCAGGCCCTATTCTTCGTTTCTTACTGCATATCTAGCATCTATTTCTATTGTTCTTCATCGTTTCTGCCTTTCGTCTCTACGTCGTATGCATATTTTCACTTTTTGTTGTTCCTAGATCTAGAACCGTCATATCCTCCTATTTGACGCGAAATCCTTTCTGTCGGTTTGTTCATTATCTTTCATAATCTCATTGCTTTTCTTTCTCGTATGGCGTCTCTCTCCTTGTCCAACTTTCTCGCTCGTCCCCCTCCGCCTTGTCCGCTCACCTCTTTCCTTTGTCCGCCTCAATTTGTATCTTCTTACTCAAGTTTTACTTCAACACTACTTCCTTCTCTCGTTCGTTCACTCTCCCTCTCTCGTTCTCTCTCTCCCGTTCTCTCTCTCTCTCGTTCTCTCTCTCTCTCTCTAATGGTCCGTATATTGATATGGCAAAAAGGTACAGACATATAGTTCCACGAGCATGTGAGATTCAGACTAATCCCTCTAGAGTTCCACCAGTGGCTCCAAAACAGCAAAGCAGTCCCCTAGGTGTAGCTCATGCCCAATACCCCCTACCGGAGGGTTCTCAGCTGCTGCAGCCTCACCCAGTTTCATAAGCAAGCCCACTGACTGCGCCCTCTGAAGGGCAACCGACCACCGCTGCCTGAACTGATGCAGAAACTTGGCGGCATGATAGGAGTTAGAGTCGGCGTTGAAGTGGCGCCGAGCCGCGGTGTCTGCCAGCAGTTTGAGGAAGACGGGGACCTCTGCACATGGGCAACCGTAGGTCTCCACTGCCAGTGGAAAGAAGCCGACTGTCTCAGGCCTGTTTGCATAGTGCTGGATTTTCTTATCTGCCTGTTCCCTAGCTGCCCATCCCCTCCCTTTCCGTGCCTGTGGGTCCCTGGTACTGATGGGGTCTGTCACGGTCACGTCGCACACCCAGAC